CCCTCCCCACTGTGACTGTCAGGAGGGAGCTTTCCTTCAACACCAGAGGCTCTAGATCACAATGCCAGCAGTCACTGATGAGTTCAAACTGGCCTGGGCCAACAGCTCAGGGGAAACCATCAGGCTGGACTGAGTCTGCCCTTCACTGACCTTTTGCAGAGACTTGGGGTAGTGCATGAGTAGAGCAGCCAAGGGGAGGACTGCATTGTGCTGACAGAGCCACACAAAGTCATGGTGCAGAACCCCAAAAACTCAGCAGTCACTGTCACTCTCTGCCCCAGACCCCTCTCTCCAGCCCATTCACACCACGTTTCTCACTCCATCTCCATCTCGCTGATGCTCAGAACTTTTCGTCCATTTAGCTCTCTCCAAACCACTCCAGCTCTCCAGCACTGCCTCCTGAGCCTACCACAGCTGTTTTCTCTGTCACAAACTCCTTGCAGCTCACGACCCCTGGAATCCACCAGCACTTAGTGTGCTCTGTAAAAAGAGCAGGTCTCCAGGGAAGCAACTGGCAAACGTTATCAGAAATGATCCAGCCAACGATAACCCACACTGTGCTCTATTCTTAGCTCTGTTTGGAGCAATTTCATCATTGGTGCATATTCACATGCAGTTCAAGAGGTGTTTGGTATTTTGTATCTGTGAATTCCATGTGCCTGATATCCTGCAAGGGCCACCTCCTGCCTGACAAACAGACATCACTCCCCAGAAGGATGTGGGGACCCTGGCGTATACCTACTTCTTCTATTTCTTTTTTTTTTTTTTTTCCTCTTTTTTTTTCTTTTTTTCCCCTGAGCAGGCATGATTAACTGTTGATAGAGCATTAAAACATTTTCCATGGTTCCTGTTGTGCACAGAGTCTGGACTCCCATCCTGTTCAAATGCAAAGGAGCTGCTGGCACACATCAGAAGGGTAAGAAGTCCTTCTAGAGGTTTGACATTGTATAGAGAGATCTAATCATCAGTTCTGCTTCCTTGAGGAGACTTCCCAGCAGGCAGGAAGGGGTTTTGCCTTGAGGGCACAGATCTAGTGACTGTCTCCTGGCAGCTTTCCTCACCTGCAGGTCAGGTTTGGGTTTTCTGTGTAGCATAGTCAGGCTTTCATTTCAATCAGCTGTCTCATTCACACACACTATCTGCTTTAAAATAACAAGCCGTTGTTCCTGCAGACAGAGAATCACACATCACATCCCAATCCTCCAAGAAAAGACCTGTTCTAGGAGCGATGCATCCCAGGGTAACAGAGAGAAGGGGGAAGGGACCTGGGAAGTGGGGCAGTAGTCTATGGGGGAAGAATAGCTGGGAGAGAGATGACAACCTTAGCTAGCAAGCCCTCACAGAGTGCTGAGGAGAATAATGTAGTGAGGAGACAGGCACCTGGGGGAGTGCAACTCAGCAGTGCAGAACTAGTGGACAAAGAAACTTTTATCCAAAAGGACAAAGCAATTTGCTGATGGGAGTGGGGGAGAATGCCAGCACTTCTCACCCCAACAGGAAACAGCCCTGTGTAGCTGCATGCCAGAAAGAGACACGCAAGCAGAGTAAAGCCAAATGAAATACCCAAGCAAAGCTGAAGCAGAGGCTCTACTGCCCTTGCTGGAGAAAGGAGCAAAGGGAGGGGAAAGCCCTCTTCCCTCACACCTCACGACAAAGAATAGTCTGCACTTAGGAGAAGCTTTTGGCTGCTACAGAAAAGGAAGCAGTGCTCTGCAGACAGCACTTTTTAAATTCCACTGGTAGTCTCATATCCCATCTCATGCAGTTTCCCTGCCATACAGAGCTCAGTCACTGCTGCCCATTTCCCCTGTTGACATGGACAGAAAATTGAACAATTACCCTTAAACTCCTCTCTCTCGGATTGCCCAGATTGCTACATATACACCAATTAAGCCCCCAATTACCCCTGGCCAAAAAGTGACTCAACTGGGCTCGTCCTTTAGGAATTAAACACTTTTTTGCTGGTTGTGAAGGTTTATTATTCCTCAGGTTGTGATACATTAAATCCTGCCAAAGCAGGCTTTCCACCATGCAGAGGGGCTGGGTCCCCCCATGACAGGGTTCATCTGGACACACACCCACCTTGCAAAGGTGCATTATCCATTTGCCATGCCTATGTATTAGCATGTACCAGTGTGTGTCCAAGAGGATGGGCACTGAACTCAGAGCAGGTGCTGTAGGAAACCCCAATATCCATCAACTAGACACACCAGAGCTGTTTCTGGAGAGATGCTGCACTTTTTCAAAACAGTCTTTCCAGCCTAGAGTTTTACAGGAGAAAATGGTGCTTTAAGTCAAACACATGCCTTTGCTTTCCTATAACTCAAAACTGGCTCCTCTTTAAAGTGTCTCTCTTGTCCTGGACTAGCCTCTATGAAGAAGAAACATGGATTAGAGAAGATTAATTCTGAGCATGATCTGAACCAATGTCCTTCACTGCTATTATTTCAACAGTTTGTATTGCAAATTATGGATGACTTGGACCTTCTGGGTTTCCCTGTACAACTTTAAGGAATGGCTGAAATTGCACATGGTTCCATGCATGTCCCTGTCAGGTCCACCCACTTACAATCTCCCATATTACTTCAGTCTTTCCACACAGCCGGAGAAGCAACTGTCCTTCTCTCCCAAACACCCGTGGAGATGAGTAATCAGATGCTATTTCATGCACAGGGTGAATGGCCAAGGGCAGTTGAGAGAATTCTACTTTTATTTCTGAAACTGCAAGGCATATCAAGCCCAAAAGTCTCCACTTGGTTGTACAACCTTCCCTCCATTTTCCACATGCCAAACTGCAGGATCTCTCCAGGGCCTATGCTTTTTTAACACTTTCTCCAATGGACTCCAAATTCTGAGCCTCTGGGTGTTAGTGCCTTATAAATAATCATAACTGAGCACATTTCAAATACTAAAGAATACCTTTTTAAGGGCATATAGTTTTGTCCTTCATTCTTCTAATAAAAAGGTTGGATGGGGGACAAACAATGGTAATGGAATGGTACAGCTAAGCTTTCTGACAGGTTAAAGGAAGGCGATCCAAATGTATTGGTTGACGCAGCTGCAGCTGTTCATATTAAGGTGTACAAGCTAACACATTACACAGCACAAAATAACCGTAACCCATCTTTGGAGATTCATACACCAATGTCTTGATCTTTGTGTGTTTAGAAACTGAGCTTTACTGTTACAGTTAAGGACAGAAGCCCAAATGCAGTTCTGGGCGAAGGGCAGCGGCTCAACTTACAGCCACAGCATGCTACTCCCTGTCTTCTATACCGGGCAGTTATTTGTATCTCTCTGCTTACACACAAAGTAATTTTATTCAGATTATGGAGTTTTGTTTATAAGTCAGTTTTCTTCACTGCAATTGCTGAGTCTACATGGAGAAGTCCTCTCCCAGAACAGCCTGCTCAACTCCCTGTAGAAATAGGACTGCAAGCATACAAAGCACTTATCCATTTAGAGATTTTTCCATATGCAAATTAGATCCACAACCCAGTGTATTTGACTGCACCAGAAACTGCCTGGGTAGGAACCCTAATCAGATTAGTGGGTTCTTTCTTCTAACACATAGATTTAATCCAAAACTGAACTCTGGCTTGCAAACAATCCAAAATCAACTGTTAACCACAGGTTAGGCACAGATAATAAGTGAAGAGTATTAGGATTTACCATGTCTCTATACCACACTCTGTATCAATTCTATTCTGTATTTATTACCCACAGTGTTGGAGCACTAAAAGTCACATGCTGCAAACATGTGGCAAGCATTTTGATGCCTGGTTAGCAAAGAAAGTTGATATACTCTGAATACAAGACCAAGGTTCAACGAGAAGGACAGCACATATGCAAACAAAGAGCTGTTCAGAACAGACTATCAGCTTCAGTGACATACACTGAAATTTAAGAAGCCCAAGAAAGTTCCCAGGGGGAAAATTAAGTCTATTTCAAAGATGCCAATGCTATAAAGGTGCCACTTCCTGCAGTCATATGTTGCAATGCTTAATCTGTCTGGAAGACCCAAATAAGTCTTCATTTAATCTCATCCTGATGGCTGATCTTTTGTGACTCTTGGTAATTCTTCTGATGCTTGGTGATATTTTACAGATGCAACTTTTTATACACCGTATAAAATTCTTAGCCCTTGAAAACTGAGATAGCTCCTAGAGACTTTAATGAATTTCTATGCTCCCCACAGTTCTCTAGTGCCTGTCTCAAAATTCATACTGTGGATTTTCCCTGAGATTTCTTTTGGCTCATCCAGTCCTAGAAAAGCAGGTGAGATACACTATGAGGAAAATTAGTGCTAAGTCAGGAGTCCAGTAGATTTCACAGCAGCCTGTACAGGGATGGGATGGGATGGGATGGGATGGGATGGGATGGGATGGGATGGGATGGGATGGGATGGGATGGGATGACCCACCAGTGCCTATGTTTAGCTTATTATTTATGATCTTGGGTTAGGGCAAGAAAATTTTTTAAATTAAGAATACCCTCATGTCAGAGACCCCAAGAGAGTGGTGTAGGCACTTGTCCTGATGGGAACAAGACAAGGACATTACATAAAACACAAGTGAGGCTTTAAGTAGAGCATACTATCACCTAAACTAGGGGACAGCAGTAATTTCTTTCCCTGCTCTTAACTTTTTATTGGTCTTTTAGCTCTCTTTTTGTCCCAATGCACTATTCTCCATGTGGAGGTAATCACAGAGAAAAGCATCTCCTCAACACTTCCCTTCTTCCCAAAGGTGCTTTATCATTCTGTGTTAATGAAGAACCAGAGTTAGACTACAGGTTCACTTCCTCATCCTATTCTCCATCTCCTTTGTTCTCTCTCCTTCATTCAGCAGCTGGGAAGACGTAAGCAGCTCCCACGTTTGTTTACCCCCATGGTGGTTCATTTTCTTGCCATTTCTTACAAGATGCCTCTGGTCACTTTACTGGAGAACCGCCAGACATGCATGAAGGCACTTCTTGCAGTCAGGTAGGTGACACCTTACCTCCTCCATCATCTGATGCCTCCACGCTCTGCTGTCTGAGACGATGGCTGCAGCAAAACACAAGGAAGGAAGGAAGAATTTCAATTGCAAGCCCAGAAAAGCAACTTCTTGTGTCCCCTTCCTCCCCATAAGCCTCATGGCACACCAAGGGGAGAGTTGCCAGGTACACCTAGCCTGCAGACTGACCTTCTTCCATACCCTTCATTGCTGGACTCAGCACAAATCTCAGCTTAGAGTGCTTAAGCAAGATGCTTTGTACCTGAGACAAAACCTTAGGCTGTAGACAGTAGGGCCCGGGGTGGCTCTGGGAGGAGAGCGGATGCTTTCTGCTTTTCCTTCTTTCAGTCATATGGAGTGACAGAGCTATCACCTCCTATCCAGGGAACTACAGAGTGATCAGCCCTGCCACATGCCAGGACACATGACAAATTGATGCTCTGCACCCTTCTCAAGTTCTAGAACTTGGTGTACTGGTGCTTAGAGTCGCATGCACCTTCTCCATGAGATCAGATGTAAAAGTTGTGGAAGAATCATAGAATCATAGAATGTATTGGGTTGGAAGGGACCCTCAAAGGTCATCTAGTCCCACCCCCCTGCAGTAAGCAGGGACATCTTTACTAGAGCAGGTTGCTCAGAAGTCTTAGCAACAATGGAAACTTACTCTTCTACTTCTTCTGCATGCTTTCTTCCTGACCTGCAAGACAAGGAAAGGCTTATTAAGC